GAATACAGTGAAACTTCGACGGAGAGCTTTTGAAACTAATACTTTATAATGGTTCGAAAAATCAAGAGTCCTAGTATAATGAAATCCCAGGTCACGGACTTCAGATACTACTTTGAGATTTGAATCACTCAAACGATATGAAGGAATCCGAGCATGCTTGCCTAGACACAACATTTGTGTTTTCTCGATGGAAAGTGGTAAGTGATTCATTATAGACCATTCAACTGCTTTATCAATTGCTTTTTGGAGAATTATATCAGCACCAACTCCAGAGACCTCTTTATAGATTTTTATGTCATCTGCATAAAGGTTGCAAACAACATCAAGATCCTTAAAAAACCAAGGAAAGTCAGAAGTGAATATGTTAAACAGAACCGGTGAAAGTACCCCACCTTGAGGTACTCCTGATTTTACAGTACGAACCGATGAGTAAGAGTCTTTCACTAAAACTTGGAATGTTCTGTTATATAGAAACTCTTTTATCCACTTTATCACAAGAGGATGGAAACCAAGATGCTCCAGTTTTTGAACCAATAACTCATGGGAAACTCTATCAAATGCTTTTTGGAAATCAAAGTAAACAACATCTACGTTCTTCCCCCGATCCAAGGACGTTGTCCAGTCACTGAGACAATCTAGTAACGAAGTTTCAGTAGATCTGCCTTTACAAGTTTGACGAGGAACTGGACCAGAGCTTGAATTTAATCGGTCTAGTTTTCCGAAACCAAGAAAATTCTGAATGGGCATCCGTTGTGATGAAATTAAATATATTTCGATGAGAAGATGAAACTGCTGTAAGGATTTAAGGTGTTCCCATGTAAAACGTTGAGGGTTGTTTGTCATTGGTGTTGGGTTTTTCTTCAGTCATTTGCTCGCTATATGCTTTCAATGAAATGAGCTTAGCAGAATACAGGAAAGACTTGGGAAGTCTTCCGCTTCGCTTTTTCCTCCACGAGGTCCTCACGATATGCTCAAGTGCGAGTGAGATCCCTTGACGAACAGCCTGACTCTGTTCCAGTAAACGGCACATAGTCCGCACCTGAGAATTGTCAAGTACCTGCGGGAGATAATGGTTCGCACTGCATGTGCGAACTGAACCAAAGCAGCAGATCCTTCATGCGTGGACATCTTCTGAAGTGCAGAATAAGGGTTCTGCACAGAAGGAAACATCCTTGTTTGGATGGGATGCAATGTAACAGAATGGTCGCTCTGTCTGTCTCCGAATTCAACTCTATCCGCATGCTGATGGTTTGCTTCCAAGGGGTCCAATCGTTTTGCACCGGGCCTTCCAGATAGCATTTTCTTGTGAGTCTCTGGTAATGCTCCGGCAAACTGCGGGGATACTGGTGGTGCATAAATGTTGCAGTAGATGATAACTCGTATAGGCTAAAATTAGAAATGTTACCTTCCAGCCCCCCCCCCCTCTCCTCTGATTCTTATCCCTCTAAAAAGAGTTGAAGTATTTCTTGTTTACAGAATCAGTATAGACGTTATTTTGAGGAGGTACAACAGTGATGACTGAGGTTTTTATAAACGGGCATCAGGTGGTATCGTAAAAAATTTGTTTGATGAGGGGTTCCTACATAAAAAATTTTTCAGTTGTTTTCGTCTTGTAGGAAATGCTAGCAGCTGGCTTGTAGTATTAATTATTGCCTGTGATTGAAAGCTCAGTCTTGACTCGTGGTGGCTACGTGGGGAGCAGAGGTATCGTGAGTTTCTCGAATAATGGTATTGTACACTGTCACTTCAGATAAGGGCATAACCTGAGAAATTTGATCGTCCTTTGGTGAAGCTACTCTTGGACCACGTACTCTTAAGGACTGATGATAGTAGAGGGGAAAAGAATCGTAAATTGAGAGACAGCCATGTTAAGCGAGCCACTTTCTGTGCCATCGTAATTGACGTTGGATGGAAAGGAAGCGGTGATGCAAGCAAATTGCTCAAATGCCAAGGTGCTGGTTAACTACTGAAGGCTGGAGATTATAGCGTAATTTGGTCATGTTGCAGGAATCCCTTGATTCTTCCTTAGCAAGAGGAGTAGCTGGATGTTGTCAGCAACAGCTTGACAGTTGAAAAGTTCCAGAAGTACGATCTTCTCAGTATCGTTTGTTCTACAAACACACAAAAACCATAGCTGGTCTAGATTACCTGCAAACCAACACCAACACCAATCGATCCTAAGTTCAGACGTAGAAATTTTTATCATATCCATTCTTCAATATATGAATAAATATATATGTACATCTCTGGGAAGCGAATAGAAATCTTCAAAGAGAGAGAAGGAACCCTCACAGCGGTAATGACGGCGATTTGAAGGCATGCTGCGCATACTAATGCTAAGCGACAACAAGCTGAACGGACTGGGACTTTGGAAGGGAAGATGAGTTCCGCGTGTGAATGAATATCATGCAATGAGAAAGAGAGGAGTTGTTGTTGATGCTGCAAAGGGTGAGTGAGTAGCAGCGATCGACGAGAACGAATGAGCAAAACCTCGGGTGGAGACCCTAGTCGAGCTCAAAAAATGGCTAGACTCTGTGAAATAGCAAGTACAGAAGACGTGTTACTGTAACAAACATGGTGCGAAGTAATGAGATGAAATTTGAAAAAAAAAGCGTAAAGAAAAGACACTGAAGAGAAGCAAGGCACGATTGGGATATAGTCTGAGGACACTTTGACTAAGGCAAATCGAGAATGCGAATGAACACTCTCTNTTCCCAAAGATGACTATGAAATTAATGACTGACTGAATGATGATTATGAACGACGCAACTTAACAAACAAACGAACGAACCACAGTTGAGAAACGGACAGCGAAAGAGGAAGAAAAAAAACAGGACGACGACGACAGCACCGGCTCATAGCGGTCTCGGTGATTGAAGGTGGTTACGGTGTCAGTGATATGACCCCAACGCGTTAGGCACAACCGATTGATAAGCAGCCAACCAATGACTTGTGGCATTCTTTTGAGTTCGGCGAACGGGATCCGTCGTCCGAAGCCGTAGCGGCAGCGTGGCGGCGACGGCCTTACTGCTTGTAAGGATGGTCACGAGATGTGCCCAGAACGCGACGTTGGTTAATCATGGCACCTGAACGTTAGCACGGTTAGCAACATTAAAGTAGTAGTTACAGTGTTGTTGCACGAGTCCTTTCTCTATCTCTGCAACGGCTCATCCGACTATTTTCCCGTGGCCAGTGGTCGCACTCGGCGATTGGCGATAGACGACCGTAACACCATGAGACGCTGTTCAAAAATAGGAGATTGAAGTTGAAAAAAGAATGGCAAACACAAAAATAGCGAATTCATCTCTGCCATTCTCTCTTCTCTCATGTTCATTCTCCAAAAACACTCTCACGCAGTCTATGATACCAATCGCCGAGTATGAACACAGCCGAAGACACCAAAAATCGAGGCAGTTTAGCGGAACAGCGGCTACGTTCGTTCTAACAAGTGCTAGAAGTGCGCACGAGACTAGTAGCTAGCCGTGTGGCAATAGCCAGCCGGTTATCCGATGGTTAACGTTAGCATTTTGAAATGTGTAAAATCTTAGTAAATGATCATGCAATCACTAATGAGACGACGCTCAGAATCAAAAAAAAATCCAGAGCAGACACGGTTATCGATTCGGTAGTGTTGTGTTAAGAAAATTGATTGAAGTGGGAATGAGATGGGAACAGTATGAGGTGCAGGGCGTATGAGATCGTGGCAGAAAACTCAGAAAGCATGTGAAATCACAATGATCGATATGTCAAAAATCACCGATATGCCTAAAAAAAGGAAGACATTTCTGATACACGTATCGAGGTAAACTGAACATAGCAGTAACGGATTGCAAAATAACAACAACAGTCTGCAACCGCAGTAGAAGAGCAATAAAAGGATTATATGCAAAATAAAATGATTACTTAAATAGATGACAAAAGGAAAATCCCATCTGGGGACTGACAACCCTGTCAGAAATAAATATGCGGACCGGCTGACGTGCAAGTATAGAGCGAATCCAGCTCTCCGGAAATTTTTTTATTATGCCCATTTCCGAACGAGAAACCCACCAGGAGCCGTCTGCGTGGCAGCGATGTCGACGCCAGCATAGTCAGCATACTGTCCTCCCAGCAAGCTGTACTGCTGTTGTGCTGCAGCTGCCTGTGCCTGTTGTTGGGCTGCCTGTGCCTGTTGGAATTGCTGGAGAGCGGCCACATTCGCCAGATTCTCATATGACAATCCTTGGCTGCAACTAAGAAAACGTGCAAGAATCGTTTCAAAAGCGATGTAAGAAAAATAGCGCTAAGGATCAGAACAATACACAAGACGGCAGCTTAGCGCTTCACAGAAAGGTACCTTCGAAGACTACTGGCCCTTCCAGGTAAGCTAAATGGGATCAGAATAACCTGGTGGGCAGAATGAGGGAAGTGTGAAGTTGTCAGCTTGAATGGGGCTTCATACGTCTGAAGAAAATGGTTCCGGAAGTACCGCGCGTCTTTTATCGTCCCATGGCTAACTGCCTGTACAATACCTGGGCGACCTTTACAGTATGCGAGAAGTAGGAGATTTGAGGTCCATACTAGTAACTTTGAATGCGAATGATAGAAAAGAAAGCCAATTGTTAATTGTCTTCGCTAATCGGCATCACATGTATGCCCTGACCCTCACGCATATCGAATCAAAAATACCTGAATAACAATTGCTGATACTCGGCGGCCTGTTGTTGCTGTTGAAGAATGGCGGCCTGTTGTGCAGCGACGGCGGCCGCATTGTTAGTGGCGGCGACGGCAGCTGCCCCCAGTTGGGACTGGAGGCCGAGCATTTGGGTTTGTTGGGCCCCTGCAGGTCCCCGTCCGGGACTCATCACAATTGGAGCACCAGCCACTGCCATCGTTGGCGATCGTGCCAGGGCCGGGTTGCTAGCAGCCAGCATGGGCAAAACGCTTCGAGCCTGGGCAGAAAGAGCGGCTGCTTCTGAAATCCGTAGCATTCGATCACAATTCATACATGGCAATCGAAATTGGGGGATTTAGTAAAACCGCAAAGCCTGGACGCAACCAGAACAGTATCATTTGTATGTATGTTCATATTAATAGTCAAGAAGTTAATCGCTGCTACAGGAAGGTCGACTCCAAAGAAACTCACGAAGAGCAGCAGCCAGCGGCTGTTTCAGTTGGGCGGCAGCGGCGGCGGCAGCCGCGTGTTCTGATGCTGAACGGTAGGTGCCGTTAATGATTGCCAGTTCCATGAGTTGCTTCCGTTTCAGTTCGTCTTCGCCTTCAGGCTGCAAACAACCACACACTTATGAAATAGAAAATGAAGTGAAATTTTTGAAAGAAATTTTTCGAATCGCTTTTTAATGCGTGACTTCTCCAGGAGGAAACAACCACCTAACAAACATATCCCCGCAAAAGGTCACCGGAATCGTGGTCTCAAAGTATCGGATAGTTGGGATCGACTTAGGAGGGGAATTCCACGATTGCTCAACGAGGTTCAAGTCTCACAAGGTTGGCGATTTGTGGGCAAAACTCCAGTCTCGGACGGGACTCGAACCCGTACTTGTCCTTTCCGGGGACCGTGCTCTTATCCCTTACACTACCGAGACCCCGCTTGTCCTCGCCTTCTTAATGGCTTATATGCCATAGCTTATCAGCACTCACACGTACAACGTGTTGAGCCGGTCGGCCGATATCAGCACAGAACCGATAAGCTGTA